GAAAGGGATAAAGGAGAGAAAGGGATAAAGGAGAGAAAGGGATAAAGGAGAGAAAGGGATAAAGGAGAGAAAGGGATAAAGGAGAGAAAGGAGAGAAAGGGGTAAAGGAGAGAAAGGGATAAAGGAGAGAAAGGGATAAAGGAGAGAAAGGGATAAAGGAGAGAAAGGGATAAAGGAGAGCGCGAAGTGTTCGGTGCAATGTGTGTGATGGGCTCTGCAACAGACAGCTGAAGGGATGATCAACCAGCCTGAAAGGGGATTTCACATGTACTGCCGCCTATCCGCCATGGCGAAGGTTTACCAGATTTGAGCAGGGGCAGAACAAGAAATCAATGTGGCTAGAGTACTTCAGCACATTTTTTTGATTGAGTAACTTTCTTTTTTAAAAAAAAAAAAATCAAAGTTTCGAAGATTTAAAAAAAGAGAAACAAGTTCTCACATTTTACAGCGCTATCATAGTAGCGAAGATGTCCTTTAGTAACAATTAGATTCATTTACCATAGGTATATCTGTAACTAATTTACTAGTTCCTTACTTACTATACTACTGTTAAAGTAGTACAATACTTATTTATCTACATGACTTTACATATACACGCATAAGTCATATATCGTATTCTTCTTTGAGATTTTTTAAAAAGCTTTTAATTTTTTTAAAAGTACAAAAACACAAAACAAAAAATATAAAACCATCTTCAATTACATACAGTGTGTTGGTTGGTACTAGTCTCTTGTGCATAATCTCTACAGTCATTCCCTTCTAATTACTTTTTAATCCTCATATCATGCATAAGTTATATGTATTTCTGATACAATCATTCTTAATTAATAGGCTGTTACTTGCATTTCATCATTTTATGTGAGCAAATCCCCATTTTAACTTAGCCTACTTGATAACATTCATTTCATCATCATCACCATTTATTCAATCATATTTTATCCCTACAATAGTTTATTCTTCTTTGAGATTTCTTTGGTCATTTTGACAAACATCTTTACCTTATTGATTACTGCTAGATCTGTGGGGGTTGTGGTATTGTGATTATCATTCAGTAACTTCCTTAATTAGAAGGTGGGAATGAAGTATATATATATTTCGATTTCAGCCAAGCGAGTTGGCCAGGGAATTCTGGGAGTTGAAGTCTACAAGGCTTAAAGTAGCCAAGCCCCCCCCCCCAAGATATAGGGACCCACTTTCTGACTTTACAACTGCCCCTCCTCCCCCTGCAGTTCAATGGCTCAGGGAAGCTGAGTCCCAGGCGGGCCCTGAACTCTGTCCATGCACAAGGTCTCCAAAATAAAAAAAATAGGGCTTTGACCCCCTCGTACCTTCAACCAGTTCCACCTTCTGATGGATCAAAATTTGGTCCACCTGAAAAGGAGACAAAAACAGAACAGAAGAGGAGAAGGTGACAACAGAGAACAGCAATATGCGAAATACAAGGGGGGGGGGGAGAGAAAAAGAAAGAAAAGTGGGACTCAAAATAATTTAACAATGGTTTTCTGCCCTAAGGACTGGCTAGGTAGGCATGGCCAACTTGTCACACCCAACCCTTTCCCCAGGCCTTGGGTCTATACACAACAGCTCCAGCAATGAAAGGGTTAACCAATCTTCAGTTTCCTGGTGGGAAATGTCCCTCCACCCCCTTTCCTTCCTTCTCCTCATTCCCATCTTTCCTTCCTTCCTTCTCTCCCTCCTTCTCATTCCCATCTATTTCCTTCCTTCTTTCTCCTCATTCCCATCTCCTTCCTTCCTTTCCTCCCTCCTTCCTTCTCATTCCCATCTTTCTTTCCTTCTCATTCCCATCTCCTTCCTTCCTCTCTACCTTCTCCTCATTCCTATCTTTCCTTCCTTCCTCTCTCCTTCCTTCCTTCTCATTCCCATCTCTTTCCCTCCTTCTCTCCTTCCTTCCTTCTCATTCCCATCTCTTTCC